CCATGGCAAGCAAAACCAGGGTGATGATGGCCCCCAGTGCTTGCCACATCAGGTCTCCAGCTCAGCTCCAGCCCATGAGCTGTGTGTTCCCTTCTGCTGGCCCCTACTCAGAGCTACAGGCAGGACAAAACCTGTCTGGTTGGCTTTGTCACTGAGTGCCAAGAGATGTGTGGAGCTGTTACCTACCAGGCCCCTGGATCCAAATGCGTATGTGGATCTCTCCCATCTTCTAGGGCAGAGTACCACAGAACAGCCCAAGGATCACAGAAAATCTCTTCTAAGGATGGCCTGTCCAAGTGCTGTATGGACAAACACCTCTTAATGACATCCTGGCACTCTGGGGAGAGAAACCACCCATCACCAGTCAGTTGGAGAAGTTGCCCCCTCTTCCTGTGCCAGGCCATGCTGGGTGTGCCCAGAGCTGGGCCTAAACTTCCCCATGGATTTTCTGTTTAGAGGAGAGCAGGAGAACAGGACATGTGCCACCTCCTCAGCAGCTGCCAGAGCAGGACGCCCACAAGCTGCTGCTGTCTCCCAGCACTGGTATTGCTCCCGAGGCCAGAGATGAGGATCCACCTTGAGAGAGCCGTCCTGGGAACAAGATCTGCCCCCAGAGATCTCCTGGCCCCTCCTGAACAGGAGCTTCCCCATGACCAGGTGGTGCAGCAGGAGGCCCATGGACCAGACCGTCGCTGCCTCGCTGTGGTAGCATTGCTGGTGGATCCCCTCTGATGGGCTGTAGGACAGGGTTCCTGTGGAACACTGAAAGAGTTCATCAGGGGGATGCTGCAGCCTCCAGCACCTGGCGGAGCAGCCCCCGCGCCTCCTCCTCCGGCAGGAACCCCCGCTCCGCCAGGAAACCCGACAGGTCCTGGCACTGCTCCGGATGCTCCAGCACCAGCACAAAGCTGTCGGGGAGCTGAAGCCACTGCAGGAGCTGAATGACACCAGCACAGCCAGAGGAGACCTTGTCCAGCAGCGCGATCTCCAGGGCTGCGCTGGTGCCGTGGGGCTGCGGGAGGAGCACGATGCCGTCAGTGGGGCTGATGCCGTGCCGGGGGTCGGGAACCCCTCAGCCAGCCCGGGATGCTCTGCGCCTTGCGCTGGCCCCACGCCCGCTCTCCCTCCAGGTGTCCTGGCATCTCTCACCCTGCTGGGCCCCGGCTCAGCCCCGCCCGGCACGGCCCGGCTTCTGCCACTGCCCCGCTCAATCACCAACTCGCCGCAATGCCGGACACTTTCGCTGCTTTCACCGCTTTCGCTGCCACTGCTGCCGCTGCAGCTGAAGCTCCATGTCCATGTGTCCCCGTGTCCTTAAGTCCCCGTGTCCGTATGTCCCTGTGTCCCTGTGTCCCCGTGTCCATGTCTCCCAGTGTCCATGTGTCCCTGTGTCCATGTGTCCCATGTCCATGTGTCCCCGTGTCCATGCGTCCCCATGTCTGTGCGTCCCCATGTCCGTGTGTCCATGTGTCCGTGTGTCCCCGTGTCCGTGTGTCCCCGTGTCCGTGTGTCCCCGTGTCCGTGTGTCCCTGTGTCCCGTGTGTCCCTGTGTCCCCGTGTCCCCGTGTCCATGTCTCCCAGTGTCCATGTGTCCCAGTGTCCATGCGTCCCCATGTCTGTGCGTCCCCATGTCTGTGTGTCCATGTGTCCGTGTGTCCCCGTGTCCGTGTGTCCCTGTGTCCCGTGTGTCCATGCCCGTGTGTCCCGTGTGTCCGTGTGTCCGTGTGTCCGCTGCCCGCTCGCCCCCGCGCCCAGCCCCGCGCTCCCCGGGGCAGCCCCTGAGCCTGTCCAAACACGGGAACTTTGCCGTGTCCAGCCCAGACCCAGAGCCTGGACTCCTGCCCAGGGACACAGGAATCCCCTCGGTCACTGCTGTGT